GTTATCATAAATTAATACTAAAGTTTTAGCTCTCAAGCTCCAAGTTGTCATAAATTAATGCAGAGGTTTAGCTAAGATTATACTTATAGCCTAAATAGCCGATACCTTACCATAAATGTTAACAAAGTACATTTACCGAACTACGATTCTAACCAAATATATGTCTAAAAAGTTACCAAAGTTTTACTATAAATCAGGATTTGCTTTGGCTTATTAGATCCAACACAATGCAAATGGAAACATTCTCGAAAAAAGTCTCACGAACCCCAGTTTCACTTGGATCAAACTAACGATTCATAACCAAAAGCATCGGTATATACGTGTCAAGATAAATTAGTCCGACCAAAATCATCCAAATGTCATACATCCAATGCTTATAAAACAGTTGATTTCATAATAAACAGACAACGAGAAAACGAGAATACTTCCGTAATCATATATATAGAGCAATAAATGAAACTAAGCAGAGACTTAAAGCAAAAGTTTCATATCCATGGAAAGTATACATAAAAGATCAAGATAAAACCAAACTATAGTACGATAATTTTATTCAAACAATCGAACTCTTTCTATCAGCCATTAATACTACACAACCATAACACTACATAGTACAAACAACCCCGACGAAAATGACAAAAAGTTTATTTGTCATTTGATGCCCATGAAAATCACAAGAACATGATAAATCTCATTCTTACACGCGCAAAAGACAATATAATCGGGCAAAGGGCAAACTAAACACAGATAGGTAATCAAAGGTAACAATTATACGAATCAAATATGCAAAAGAGAAAAAAAGAATAGATTTTTATCCCTTTATCCTTACCGAAAGATATCTTTTTCTTCTTCTTCTTCTTCTTTTAATAAAAAGAAAACTCCCAATATTCACTGCTCACGCTTTTTCCCATCATAGTAACTGAGGTACCACCGGACGAATTTCTTCAGCCCTGTCTGCAAATCGGTCGTTGGCTTATAACCGAGCTCCCTTTGAGCCAAACTAATATTAGCATGCGTAAACTGAACATCACCATTCCTCGGCAGCTTCATAACCATCCTTTTCGCCTTAACCTTAAGCAATCTCTCCAAAATGCTAACAAGATCAGAGACGGGCACAGGTGAAGTATTCCCTAAATTATAAACTCTCAACTGAGCCGGGCCTTGCTTTTTCCCTCCACTGCCCGTACTCTTTTCCGCAGTATCTAAAGCGCCCAAACAGCCCTTAACAATATCATCAATGTACGTAAAATCTCTCGCCACAGTACCGTGATTAGCAGCTTCAAAGATCGGTATCGATTTCCCTTTCAATATATCCTTGGTGAAGAAGAAATATGCCATGTCAGGCCTTCCCCACGGCCCGTAAACCGTGAAGAACCTAAGCCCGGTTAAGGATAGCCCGTATATGTGATTATAAGTGTGAGCAATTTCCTCACCGGCCTTTTTAGTGGCGGCGTAAAGGCTAGCCGGCTGATCTGTTCGGTCCCTTTCGGAAAAAGGTACATTCTTGTTTAAACCGTAAACCGAGCTACTCGAGGCCCAAACAATGGCCGGCTGAGGATTTACACTCTTGCAAACCTCGAGCAAGTTAACAAATCCAGCTATATTGCTGTGTATGTAAGAGCCAGGATTAACCATGGCGTATCGAACTCCGGCCTGAGCAGCTAAGTGCATTACGTGCGTGAAAGGCACGATTTCGAAAAGCCTTTTCAGCAATTTTGAGTCATTTATGTCGCCCTCGACGATGTAAACCCCAATGCGCTCGAGGAGGGATTGCCGGGCGCGTTTGAGGGACGGATCGTAATAGTCGTTGAAACTATCGAGGCCCACAACGCCGTCGCCGCGGCGGATGAGGGCGGAGGAGACGTGGGTGCCGACGAAACCGGCTGCGCCGGTCACCAAAACGGAGATCCCATTTGTTGAACGGATTTTGGCGGAGGCCCGGATCTTCTTTTCGAACTCGGGGCTGCTGTAGAAGCTGGTCCGGAGGGATCTTCTGGAGAGATCTGAGGTCCCGGCGGCGGAGGACGGCGGGGATCTGTAGAAGAAGAGGTAGATTAGGCCCAGGAAGGTGAGG